TTGGCTCGAAAACCTCCAGGTGAATCACATCAGACGTTATTTCATTAATTGACATGCTTCGCTCTAACAACATTCCCGATGTTAAAACATTACCTAAGCAATACCAGAATGTCATAAGTCTGCCCCAAATTGTAACTCTATTTTAACAAACGACAAGCTCCTGCAAAGGTACCGCGCATTAGTCTTATGTTTACCAAGATTTTAAGGACGTGAGTTTAAGCCAACAAGACTACCTTTGTGTTACTTAGATGTTATGCATTAAGATTGGGCTACTGACATGGGGAAGGTCAACAGCTAATTTTTGTTCTCTCACTGTCAACAAATGTAGAGATATGCCACGACAAAAATCGACTCAGTGGGAGGATGGCACACATTGCAAATCCTGCGAAGGTCAAAAAGACTAGACGTCAGCGTAGACAACTACACAATGAGTTATAGTAAGTTTAAATAAGAATTTTGCACAATTGCATCAGTTTTATATGTTTTCTGCTTTACAAACTTTCAGCCTCCAGCAATGTAATGGTAAAGCACTTACAGAAACACCTTTTCTTTTGAGTTACAAGGAGGTCGTAATTACAGGCATCTTACAATCCATTACGGGACCATAAATATGACCAGCACCTTAGCCTTTCAAAGGATCAGTGAAAAAGTAATTCTCATTACGGTAGGCTCAATCCCTTACAAGCATTTTCCTGAAGAACTGCTGACTAAGGCGATTACAATTAGGAAGCAAATAATTGGTTATTCAACCGACTGTATGAAGACTAACTTCAAATGGGGATAATTGGCGAATCTTCGAGACTGTATGGAGTTCCACATAAGTTAGAGGTTACTACGTCAATTCGTCGAAGGATCTCGAAAGGTAAGACACTAAAATAAATAAGACAGATCACTAGTAAACCATTCGTGCCCCTAGAAATGCACCTTAAGACGTACCTGTGGTCCATATTTTAGTGCCTATAAACGGCTAAAGACGAAAATTGTTAAGTTGGCTATAACCTTATTCGACAGTCAGCTAATAAAGTAAAATAAAGCTTTTATTTGGAGATCTGGTAGGAAATCCAATTGGGATAAAAGCTGTTGATTCACATTTCGTCATTGAACTTTTGCTTCCTTTTACCGCTCGGCCTATGTACTGATGCTAAAAATGTCCCAAAGAAGAACTTTTCCCAATTTGCAAATTAATTATAGCGCCATTTGTAGTTTTCACTTGCACTGTAGTGAAGCGAGTACAAACCTGCACGTTCAACGTTCCTACTTAGATTTATGCGCCTTTGGGAGATGGTGCTTTAACACATTTTTCCGACTTTGATAAGTGTAAGGGGAAGTTCCTGAAGAGCTTTATTTAGCTAAACCAAAGAGAACACATCACTGGATACTATTTTATTTTTTTCACTAAGGATTCATAATCATTAAATGATTTTAGAAGCATTAGCCTAACGACTCTACTAACGAAAGTAAGGTCTGTTTTAAATTTTGTTAAAATTTTTTAGTGGGAAAATCCGATGGGTACAAATGGCACTTATGAAGTCAGTTAATAAAATCCACAGCATTTTATTGAACCATCGCCACAAAGTTGAATGGATACTTTGTCTAAGTAGAGGGGCTAAAAGCGGGGTAGTTTTTCGCATTTTGTCTAACATTTCAAAGTCTGTGAAGGTTAATCTGTTCGGTTATACATGTAGACATTGAAGACGACGCAACTGTACTTGATAGCGACTACGACTGTATTGGGAGTTTGGTCGAAGAAGTTTCGGCCTACAATGCCGAATCGGAGAAGGACACTTTTGTCGGACGACTGTCACAATTTAAGCTGAATGGTTTAGACATCATCAAAATCATGGACGACATCGCAAATTACAGGTCGAAGGAAAGTTCCTTCGGATCCTATGACCCTGGCTTGCTTACACTAATGGATAATTGGAAGGAAAGTATCGAAGTGACGGCTTTAACTATGAAAACTGAAAGAATTAGGGCCTTTCCACTACAGTTCCAAGGTAGTGGAGGATTAATGGAGTACCGATTAAGGCAGGAGCCCTGTCTCAGCGTCCGACTATCCTTGAAGACATCGATGGTAGGTGTTTTATTGACCATACTTTTTGTCTTTTGAAAGAATTGTGGGGCTCGATTTGTTTAAGTGGAATGGAAACTAAAATGTTATTCACCCGGAGTACTAATTCAATTATTCTACATCTTTTTGCAGTTTTGTTGACCATTTATCTATCGTTTGTAACAAGAAGTTAGGTAGTTGTTCAAAATAGTCAGGGTTTCGTAAAATTGCCTTGGGTATTTGAAAACATTCTATGCCACTTCCATCAAGTGCGATCACATCGGCGAGGAAAGTAACTGAGGTGCCACAAATCTAATTCAGCTCTGCGAGTGGTTGGGCCGTAGGGAAATGTAATGGTATGATAAAATTGTGTACTTCTGTGTGGAACCTTGTTTCATCTTGTTCCTATTTTACTAAGTCAATGAGCTAAACAAATCCAGCACGTAAAGAACAGCAGAGAAGAAATGGTTTTGCTTTTGGAAGACTTTCCAGGTCTTTGAATCTGTGAAAATCACTTAAGCCAAAACATCACAACATTTGCATCAATAGTGCAAAAATTAGCAGGTTTAAATTAAAAGTCGAGGATCTTTTGATCAACTCATCTAACAGACTAATTCAGCCACCGACGACATTAAGCAGCCAACTAGTTAGTGTAGGGCGCGAACATAAATTATGAAATTATGAAAAAGCATTAATTTAGAGCAATGGAATTATCCTGGCTGCGACAAACTTCAAGGAGGATTTCGTTGGATTGGAGCTAGCCGATGCTCATTTGCGTGCAAAGTATCAATATGATTCAAACCGAGGGCAGTTAGCTTTCGAAAAAACGGCTCCTCTGAACGACACACAATGGCATGACATTAAAGTAGGTTGGTTGCATCTATTATGTCCCTTTAGAAAGTGGAAGTATTACATTGTCACCATTTTTTTCGTACTATCACTTTCTTAACAACGATTTTGACGTTCAGTCATGTATGTATTAGTGTCAAACAAGTAAAAAGGATGCAGGTCTTCGACCGAGAGTCGATCCCTATGTTTGATCATGCTCACATCTTAGGTTGGATTCTATAAAATTCCGAGCGAGAACCTTGTTTTTAAAGGCTTTCATAATTCGAGCACTTCCCACTTCCTAATGATCATGTCGATACCTCTGAAATCCTTTCGTGAGTAAAAACTTATCGAGTGCCATTTTGAAATTAACTAATTAGACTTTACGAAATATTTTGGTCCGAAGAATTATTATAGTCAGTGAAAACGCTTTATTTCGAAAAGCTTGATAAGTGTTTCATCTATTTTTCTGTAATGGAGTGAATTTGAAAACTGTTTTCTGAACTGCGAAATGTGGCTTTGTGTAACAAATGTGAAACTATATTTACCGAGAAACGGAGTAGGAAATCAACCGTTGAACAACTGACAAAAACCGTCAAATAATATGCTGACATCGGTGCTTAAAAAATCACAGTCCTGAATGCCAATTGGCTAGAAACTATTGATAGATTCCCCTCTTGTCTTTGAGGAAGTCCATAAGCAGACATTGTAATCTCACTGTGACGAACATAAAACAATTCTCGTGGCAGGTTCAGGTGTGTACGGTGGACATGTTTACGCTGGAGATTGAATTCGATGGCGCAAAGCTGACTCCACTGGACCTTCCCATAGGTCAGGCGGACGCGTCCCGTCATGCCTTTGAAAGCCTCTTCCTAGGGGGAATTCCTATTGAGTAAGCCTTTATTCTTCCTTTTTTTTTCTTACTGACTTCTTATAAGGGCTTTAAAATCAGAATTATTATTTCTTTATACCCAGTGCAGTTGTTAGTGACTGTTGTATCATAATCATTTTATTTTGACAAGCAGACATATTGCGCTTTAAAACAGGATTTGTTAAAGAAAACTATGTTTAATAAAACATTCTGTGGCTGTGATTCAAAAATCTATTTTAGGAATGCAAAAGAATTAAGGAGTAGCTTTCGACCGACTTCTGAGTACGATGGGTGTCTAGCTGACATAGAAATCGTTCAAAAGTCGACGGGCTCACCCTTCGTCATAGAATCAAACGTCTTTCTTCCTCCAAAAAATCCTCTTCGAACTGCCAAATACACGAGAGGCATCAAATTGGGTTGCAGCCTCATTGAGCAAAAAACCAATGAGGGCGCCTGGAAGGCCGGCAGCGCTCCCAGCCAATGCCGACCTGGGGCCTGTGGATTTGGTGGCCGCTGCGTCCAACAACTTGATACGTACTTTTGCGACTGTACCATGTCTGGGTTCAGTGGACCAGTTTGCACTGATGGTACTCTTTTTAAACTCTCCACAAGTGTGCTAAAAATATTAGCCTGTTTTCTCCATAGAATGATATATCAGAATCCTAACTTGTGAAAGCACTCCCGCATTTAACCCATTCTTCACATTTACTTTTGTGCTTCTCATATGTTAGCTACTTAATTGAGCTTTGTGAGAAGTAATTAGGTGGTGAATCGTTGTGAATAAGCTAATAGGGGCAATTCGGTAAAGGGATGCTGTTATTTTAGTTGCAACGGCAATTAAGTACTCAAGAAATATGGCGGGATGTGCTATTTTTGAGTTCAGTCCTCTTCGTAATACATCACGGGACACAATATCCTTCGGCATTCAGACAGTTCAAAAGTCACGGGCAACTTTGCTTCACATCACAAGCCACAGTAAATCCCTTGACTTCCTCAGACTCGAGTTGGTGCCGTTCAGAGTAAGTTTAATTCGTAATTTTTACTACCGTCGGAACATATTTAAAAGATACTTGACATAAATTATGTTTGGATGGGGTGCAAGCCCTGGATAGAACCGAACCACGCACTTATTGGGGTGCATTTTCTTTCCACTTTGTCAATATGACATCCAGCTTTGTGTTATGGAGTGGCCAGATCAAACGTCTTCACAACACAATTACAGTTTGAACCATGCATGGCTCCATTCTTACAGAACTACCTTACTCCTGGATTGCATTTCCACGTTTTAACCACTGACTAGAAATCAAATTCGAAGCCCTTATAATTCCAACCTTCACGAGTTCCATTATGCTCATTATAGGTTCTAGTGCATTTTGCGCCTCCAAACATATTTGCTACTTATTTTGTCTGTCAGTGCTTCCAAAGTTGCATTTACCTTGCTGTTATAAAGTACGAGGTTGACATTTTTAAGGACATGTCTACTCGAATTCGGTCCATAAAGCCTCTGACGAATGTTGTACATCCTTCTGCCCAAACAATGCCGCTTTTATCAGGTGGCGCAACATATTTAAATCCATTGAATGGCATGCACTGTTGGGCTGTACTTGTGAATTGGGACTCTGTTATAAGCTGCGTAACCCCAAAATGAGCGGTCTGTAAAGCTGTTTGAGCAATCAGTCGACGCAGTTGCAAAAAAAGTGCATCCAATGATAGCATATTAGAATGATGACACACTTTGTGCATTGCAAAGCTCGGACCTCAATTGCTATTTGCAAGCTAACATTTCACCAGATCCATCTGGCTAAAGCACTTCACAACTTAGCACAGATTTAGGCTGATATCCCACAAACTAAGAGCCTAAACTACACCTATGCGTTGTTATAGAGCTCTTTAGCCTCATCTTTAAACTCTGTATATTTTTGGTACAACTTTTACTCTTACAGTCCATATAGGATCAAAGACTTTCATTGCACATTTTTAGAAGGTGTTCGTTTTACGCTTGACGTACAACATGGGAAGCGGAATCCAGATATTGCAGGAGTCTAACGTCGATATAGTTGATGGGTTGTTCCACGTCGTTCGGGTGATCCGCAACAATGCGTATTTGCAACTGCAAGTCGACTCGGAAGCCGTTCTTGAATCAACATCAGAGGGTTTGTAATCTTGGTTTGCGGCATTTAAATGAGAGCATTTTTAACACTTAAATTTTGCTTTGCTAGATTGCTTCTGCTCTTTAACTCTCTTTAAATCCTCTTTGGTTTCATTAATTGCAGTGTAATTAACTAAAAAATTGACATCTAAAGTTGAATGCGTTAGGGTGCATCAACAAATAGGAAGATTTTCAACTAGTGACGCGAATTCTTTTGTTTGCACCAACTAATCCGACTCTGCCCATCAAAGAGGAGACTAGGGTTGAAATTCACCATTTTTTGATCGAATTACAAGGAATGGCTGTGAATATATTTGAACTTATGCCGACTTTTTTTGACACTCCTTATTCTTGTTGTCTCACTTTCAATTCCCTATTCCCTTCCCTTGCAAATTCATGTCATCTCATTTGAATTGGTTTCGTCAGTTAACGTCGTTAACCACACTCACATCTAGCATTGCCAGAAGAAGCTTAACGTTCTCTCCCTTATAAGTGTGGATTTTGAATGAATTTGTTCGTTGTTTAGGATCTAGTGGGAACCACTTCAATGAAGTATACCAAGTTTACGTGGGATGTGATCCCACAATAATGTCAGTGAGTGTAGCGAACTACGTTGGACCAGCCTTCGTCGGCCACATCAGTGGTAGGTCTTCTGCAAGCACGTTTTCTATCCTTCATTTAGGTGTTAACATAAATGGCGTCTTTCTGGCCGACCTTCTGCTTGGCGAAACTATCAGTGGAATCGTCTATAAGGGCGGGAAGGATATCTTGATTGATCCAACGTTTACCCCAAAGGTTCGACAAATAGCAAATTTGTAAGCATTTGCGTTCGAAACCAGAAAGCTCTTTGTTGGGTGTTATTATCAAAAGGCGGCATATCAGTTGTACGGAATGTATGAGGGTGCATTCAAATTTAGTTTTTTAGGGGTAGTAAGCCGTATCTGTTGCTGTTGAGCTGTGGACTGTGTGGTGAATTATTTCAAATGCTTTTACCCCTGAAGTTGGCATTTTCTTGTTGTAGTCATCTTAACTAAGGGCATCGCTAATAAATACGGTATTTTGTGCTATGATTCAGTTTTCATCTTTTAGGCCCGCAAATGATATGGGAGCTGAACAGGTTCGGTGACATATATATATATATATATTATGCATCTTTAACTAAATGCTTGCTGGAGCAAAACATAGAGGCCTTAAATGATATGGTCTTTTTTAAGATTGTTGTATAAACGCATTTAAGGTATCAATGACTTTAATTTTAACGAAAAATTATGATTAACGAAATACCACTTTCATCAGACCATCTCATATCACTGTTTAAACATTTCCACTCAAGCCGTATCTAACCTCCTCAAAACCACTCACTCCCTTGGTGGTTGCAAAGCCCAACTGCTTCGAGAGTGACAATGCATTCCGAAACAAATTGGCCAATTGCAAACCAGTCAATCCGAATGGAATTGTCCTCCCGAAATGGAACCTTCCTTCTCCTGGCGAAGCAACTTCGGCGTCGATTGAAGGCAACACCTGGAGCTTACACCAGTACGATCATCCACACATCTACTAAAATTTATTACATAGGCTATAGTTGACTTTATATGGGTTGAAATGCTTTTGAAAACCTCCTTCAATGCTAAGCAGATTGCATAAGTCTTATTGCGAATCGGTCGCCATAATTTTACTAAAAGACTCCTAGCTTGTTACGCGATTGAATCAGACTACAAAAGTACCGTGATGAACCCTCCAACGATCATAGGACGTCAATTTGGCATCAACATTTTAATGCGAAATTTGGCGTCAAATATTATTTCTTGTCGAGGTGTTTGAGTTGGCAACACCAATATCATTTTAAATTTGAACTTCAAGTAATTACGTTATTTACAAACATTGATGAAGTATTTGCATCGCTGGAAAGGAAAAAAATATTCGGCAGAATGGTATATGTGAAGAATTTAAATGCTAATGTTATTTCAACTAAATTCGGGCCTAGTTATAATCACAAGTAAAAGTCGTGGCGCACTTGATGATGGAAATTAAACTGTTGCCGTTTCGGATGAACTACATGAATACTCGCAAAATGCTGTCAATCTGCTTATCTCAGAAAAAGATGTCGGCAGCGGCTGAAGTCTTTGTTGATTCCGCTGTTTGACTACGTGCGCATTAATTTAAACACTGCAACTATTTGAATAGTTGGTTTTCTGTATAAATGTGAGGATCTTATAGCACTGGATGCAATGGAGATTGCATCTAAACTCATGCTTCATTCCCATCAACCGATGCCACTAGTTGGCACCTCTTCTAGCGGAAGCTGATTAAGTGAATGATAGTGACTGCTTTCCAAACAATGAAGAATCAGTCGTTACATGGTCTCTAGCCTGCACATATTCAAAGGCTGCTTGAATTGCTTTATTTAATTATTTCGTAGGCTTTTTTATGAGTTTTTGGTCGAAACCAACTCAATGAAGAACAGTAAAGTTGTACCTTTTATCTCTCCTTGCGTGTAATGAAGAGCCTAAATTTTAAGTTTGCCAGAGCAAGCCACCACATAACATGAAAGATCAGATTGCAGACTTACATTCCATCTAAATAAGGTCATCATTTCCTCTTTGTCAGTAAAATCGGTGCGTTCTAGATTTAAACACTTTCAAGCGATGTGAAAACTCGCTTTCAAATTAACTTGACCATAGCAACGCTAGTGTCAAAAAATGATTACAAAATTAAGCGAACTGTCTTCCCCATTTCCATGATGCATCTGATGATTCCCTCGCATCGCATAGCTTCAACTCTACTTTTTAACCAAATGTGTGGAAACGATTAACCTCATTTTTATAGGTTAACCATGGTAATGAGAATGACGCAAACCTCATGATCGGAGATGAATGAGCATGTATTTGAAAAGACAGTTCGCTATCATTCGAGAGGATCGTTCCTTAATGCCGCCATCTTCACCAAAACCTTCTCTGCTATGCTTTATTCTTAAAATAATACAATTAACAACATTAAGTGGCCTAATGACACCCAATGATTTTTGAAACGAACGATACGTTTTATTAAAAGACACTAAAAATATAAATTGAATGTACCTCAACTAGTGCTACCTCTGTGAAACTATTTCATGACTTTATGAGAGTACCTGAAATTGGGCGTTTCTTCTTGGCACTCATAAGTTTACGATTAGGAAGTTTAGCGGAGTCTCGACAAATGTCGGTTATTTAAAGATGCGTCTTTGAAGTCATGCACTTCCAATGCTTGGGTTGCTCACACGCTGACCTTTGGCATGCGAGATGTGAAGACTGAAGCAGTTGGGCCACTCTATTAACAGAAAGAGTACATTTATTTCGTTTCACGTGCAAAACGAATTGTAGGAGTTATAATTTAAGATTTTCCGTCATATGTTTCCTTCATTTGCAAATTAGCCATTCTAAAACTATTAAACTTCTGCAAACGCTAGTGGTGTATCCGCAAGGCATTTTTTTTAATTGACTCATCAGCTTGTTGCTAATATCTTGCTTCGGAAACGCTATTTCAATCTTAGCTTAATGGTCCTGGTTATCATCGGTTCTGACTCATTTCAGAAGCATGACTCAGCACCACCAAGCTCCAGCGATTGCAGACACAGGTAGCGTTGAAATCGGCGGAAAATTGTATTCCTCTGAGTCTGAGGAACTTTTCCCACCTTGGAGCCATGACCGTGCACCCCAAGACGATGCTATTCGATTCAACGGCGCGGACAACAGTGTCAATGTCGAGGATCTCTCCGAATCCGAAGGAAATGGTCAAGTGGGAATTGCGAATTACCTCCCATCTCTCAATACCTGGCTTCTTTTAGCTGGTTGTGGCGCTATGCTCCTTCTTATAGCCTTAATCATTGGCTATGCTGTTTATAAATTCCGCCGACGAAATGAGGGTTCCTATAACGTGGAGGAAAATAGGACATTCATAAATCAGCGCTCCACTTCAACGCTCGCACCAACACCACTTTTACCTCCCTCTCTAGAAACAGCAACCGAACTAGCCCCTCTTCGAAGGTGCACCCCGGTCGAAATCGAATTCCCAAATAAAGAGTGGTATGTATAGTATTTGTGTCTAAGAGATTTTTCAGACTCCAGCTAATACGCTATTCCAGTTGCAGAATTCCAGTGAACAAGCCATAAATCTTTGTATATATTAACGATATCGAACCCATGTGATAGGCCCTAAATGTTGGGATAGAGAAAGTATCACCTCTCACTCAGTTTTTTTTGTACTTTCTGTGTGTATTTCTTCCGCTCCGCCTCCCTTTTACCACCGGTGGACGAAATGACCCTTGGAAAAATCTACCTCCTTCCCAACGCGGAGCATTTGCTTATGTATGTATGAAATCACTTAAATCGCAGTCACGCTCTAATCAATATTTGCCATTGAATAAAGATTTTATGATAACCTCTATTTTTGCATTAAACTGTAAGTAAAGGGCTTGACAAAGAAAAGGCCAAACTAGGCGAAGTACCTAGCAAATCCATGATGCCAACAGTTGGGCTAAATTTGCTGCGTTGGATTTGACCATTGAAGCCCATCATAAAAGGTCTGGTCTCCGCAACCTGTTGTTTCCCTTCTGTGGAACAGTTCTAAGTGGTCCATGCGAGCGCATCCCGAGCAGGAGATGGAAAAGCAACTATTCTTGTAAAAAGCAGTATTTGCGCTAATGAAAGTGGCTGCAAAGCCATAAAATTATGGCAGGATGCGGTGTCTAGTTGTAAGCTCTAAGCAAAAGAATTTATTTGACACGATATGCGTAAGCACCGATGACAAATTTAACCAAACACGTGGCACATAAGTTAACTTAAAGAACTGCGCATACACCCAATTGCCCAACCTTAGTGTGCGCCTAAATAATTTCCTTTAAATTCACTAGGACAAACTTTGGAAGGGTTCTACCTTGAAATGCGTATTGACATTGTAGCTTGCTCAAAACTTCACTCGCCAAATGCATTTACTTTGCATGGTTTTTTGCCTAAACAAATTTTCCGAACGCCCTCCCATTACACATGGGTGCGGGGAAGCAAAAGTGCTTGTTTCCTGCTCCTATCAAACACTGGATTTTTGTTGATGTTCCGTTATTTTAAAATTCCAAATTTTGACGAAATGAAAGTGCTGGAGCGGCTGTAACAGAGGGACCGCACGTCTTCTCCCAGTGTGTACTGCAAAAGAAAGGAGAGAGTAAGTTTGAGTAATTATAGCTGTTTACGAGTTATTAATTGGGGTTTGACAAACTGTCAGGCAGTCATTTAGCATAGTAAAGACATCATTTAAGTCTACAAAAATCGTGATGTTTCCCTATTTTTTGCACATTCACGCAAAAAAACCATAAATCTAATCAGTTTTATGTCAACGCATAAATGGGATGGGTGGGAGACTAGGAACCACCAAAATTTTGGGTGCCTTTAGCAAAATTTTTAACTTTGTCTTTGTGTAAATGCTATAATCTGTAAATAACTGTGAAAATGGAGGGATTTGACTGTCTTTTTAGATTTATTTGTCTGGGGAATCCATTGTTCGTTGTAATATGTAGTGTAACAAACTAGCTAAATATGTCCTATCATGGAAAAGTAGATGACTAGAAATTTTCTTCAAAGTGTCTAAACATGGGAATGAGAGCTACTTTTTTGTGCTGCCTTGAAAAATAGACGGATTTTATAGTTTAAAAATGCATCAGGATTCAATGGCAACCTTAGGTATGATTAATAAGACAATGATACTCAAGTGCTTTATGAGTGTAACATTATTTGTGTTTTTTCTGTTGACATGTCGAGTCTATAAGCGGAGGAAAGAAGAATTAATCTC